GAGCAAGGGCTTAGCGTGTGCAAAAAATCAAGAACAAGGGCCTAGCGTTCGTGAAGCTGCAAAAACAAGGGCCTAGCGTGTGCAAAATGAAAAGAACAAGGGTCTAGCATGTGCACAATAAAAAGAACAAGGGCCTAGCGTTTGCAAAATTGCAAGAACAAGGGCCCTAGCATGTGCAAAATTGCAAGAACAAGGGCTTAGCGAGTGCAAAATAGCAAGAGCAAGGGCCTAGCGTGTGCAAAAAATCAAGAACAAGGGCCTAGCGTTCGTGAAATAGCAAGAACAAGGGCCTAGCGTGTGCAAAAAAAAAAGAACAAGGGTCTAGCATATGCAAAATTGCAAGAACAAGGGCCTAGCGTGTGCAAAATAAAAAGAACAAGGGCATAGCGTGTGCAAAATAGCAAGAACAAGGGCCTAGCGTGTGCAAAATAAAAAGAACAAGGGCCTAGCGTGTGCAAAATAAAACGAACAAGGGCCTAGCGTGTGCAAAATTGCAAGAACAAGGGCCTAACGTGTGCCAAATTGCAAGAACAAGGGCCTAGCGAGTGCAAAATAGCAAGAGCAAGGGCCTAGCGTGTGCCAAAAATCAAGAACAAGGGCCTAGCGTTCGCGAAATAGCAAGAACAAGGGCCTAGCGTGTGCAAAATAAAAAGAACAAGGGTCTAGCATGTGCAAAATTGCAAGAACAAGGGCCTAGCATGTGCAAAATAAAAAGAACAAGGGCATAGCGTGTGCAAAATAAAAAGAACAAGGGCATAGCGTGTGCAAAAAAAAAAGAACAAGGGCCTAGCGTGTGCAAAATAAAAAGAACAAGGGCCTAGCGTGTGCAAAATTGCAAGAACAAGGGCCTGGCGTGTGCAAAATTGCAAGAACAAAGGCCTAGCGAGTGCAAAATAGCAAGAGCAAGGGCCTAGCGTGTGCAAAAAATCAAGAACAAGGGCCTAGCGTTCGCGAAATTGCAAGAACAAGGTCCTAGCGTGTGAAAAATGAAAAGAACAAGGGTCTAGCATGTGCAAAAATGCAAGAACAAGGGCCTAGCGTGTTCAAAAAAAAAAGAACAAGGGCATAGCGTGTGCAAAATAGCAAGAACAAGGGCCTAGCGTGTGCAAAATAAAAAGAACAAGGGCCTAGCGTGTGCAAAATAATAAGAACAAGGGCCTAGCGTTTGCAAAATTGCAAGAACAAGGACCTAGCGTGTGCAAAATAAAAAGAACAAGGGCATAGCGTGTGCAAAATAGCAAGAACAAGGGCCTAGCGTGTGCAAAATAAAAAGAACAAGGGCCTAGCGTGTTTAAAATAGCAAGAACAAGGGCCTAGCATGTGCAAAATTGCAAGAACAAGGGCCGAGCGTGTGCAAAATTGCAAGAACAAAGGCCTAGCGAGTGCAAAATAGCAAGAGCAAGGGCCTAGCGTGTGCAAAATAAAAAGAACAAGGGCCTAGCGTGTGCAAAATAAAAAGAACAAGGGCCTAGCGTGTGCAAAATTGCAAGAACAAGGGCCTGGCGTGTGCAAAATTGCAAGAACAAAGGCCTAGCGAGTGCAAAATAGCAAGAGCAAGGGCCAAGCGTGTGCAAAAAATCAAGAACAAGGGCCTAGCGTTCGCGAAATTGCAAGAACAAGGTCCTAGCGTGTGCAAAATGAAAAGAACAAGGGTCTAGCATGTGCAAAAATGCAAGAACAAGGGCCTAGCGTGTGCAAAAAAAAAAGAACAAGGGCATAGCGTGTGCAAAATAGCAAGAACAAGGGCCTAGCGTGTGCAAAATAAAAAGAACAAGGGCCTAGCGTGTGCAAAATAATAAGAACAAGGAACTAGCATTTGCAAAATTGCAAGAACAAGGACCTAGCGTGTGCAAAATAAAAAGAACAAGGGCATAGTGTGTGCAAAATAGCAAGAACAAGGGCCTAGCGTGTGCAAAATAAAAAGAACAAGGGCCTAGCGTGTTTAAAATAGCAAGAACAAGGGCCTAGCATGTGCAAAATTGCAAGAACAAGGGCCGAGCGTGTGCAAAATTGCAAGAACAAGGGCCTAGCGAGTGCAAAATAGCAAGAGCAAGGGCCTAGCGTGTGCAAAATAAAAAGAACAAGGGCATAGCGTGTGCAAAATAGCAAGAACAAAGGCCTAGGGTGTGCAAAATAAAAAGAACAAGGGCCTAGCGTTCGCGAAATTGCAAGAACAAGGTCCTAGCGTGTGAAAAATGAAAAGAACAAGGGTCTAGCATGTGCAAAAATGCAAGAACAAGGGCCTAGCGTGTTCAAAAAAAAAAGAACAAGGGCATAGCGTGTGCAAAATAGCAAGAACAAGGGCCTAGCGTGTGCAAAATAAAAAGAACAAGGGCCTAGCGTGTGCAAAATAATAAGAACAAGGGCCTAGCGTTTGCAAAATTGCAAGAACAAGGACCTAGCGTGTGCAAAATAAAAAGAACAAGGGCATAGCGTGTGCAAAATAGCAAGAACAAGGGCCTAGCGTGTGCAAAATAAAAAGAACAAGGGCCTAGCGTGTTTAAAATAGCAAGAACAAGGGCCTAGCATGTGCAAAATTGCAAGAACAAGGGCCGAGCGTGTGCAAAATTGCAAGAACAAGGGCCTAGCGAGTGCAAAATAGCAAGAGCAAGGGCCTAGCGTGTGCAAAATAAAAAGAACAAGGGCCTAGCGTGTGCAAAATAAAAAGAACAAGGGCCTAGCGTGTGCAAAATTGCAAGAACAAGAGCCTGGCGTGTGCAAAATTGCAAGAACAAAGGCCTAGCGAGTGCAAAATAGCAAGAGCAAGGGCCAAGCGTGTGCAAAAAATCAAGAACAAGGGCCTAGCGTTCGCGAAATTGCAAGAACAAGGTCCTAGCGTGTGCAAAATGAAAAGAACAAGGGTCTAGCATGTGCAAAAATGCAAGAACAAGGGCCTAGCGTGTGCAAAAAAAAAAGAACAAGGGCATAGCGTGTGCAAAATAGCAAGAACAAGGGCCTAGCGTGTGCAAAATAAAAAGAACAAGGGCCTAGCGTGTGCAAAATAATAAGAACAAGGGCCTAGCATTTGCAAAATTGCAAGAACAAGGACCTAGCGTGTGCAAAATAAAAAGAACAAGGGCATAGTGTGTGCAAAATAGCAAGAACAAGGGCCTAGCGTGTGCAAAATAAAAAGAACAAGGGCCTAGCGTGTTTAAAATAGCAAGAACAAGGGCCTAGCATGTGCAAAATTGCAAGAACAAGGGCCGAGCGTGTGCAAAATTGCAAGAACAAGGGCCTAGCGAGTGCAAAATAGCAAGAGCAAGGGCCTAGCGTGTGCAAAATAAAAAGAACAAGGGCATAGCGTGTGCAAAATAGCAAGAACAAATGCCTAGGGTGTGCAAAATAAAAAGAACAAGGGCCTAGCGTGTGCAAAATAAAAAGAACAAGGGCCTAGCGTGTGCAAAATTGCAAGAACAAGGGCCTAACGTGTGCAAAATTGCAAGAACAAGGGCCTAGCGAGGGCAAAATAGCAAGAGCGAGGGCCTAGCGTGTGCAAAAAATCAAGAACAAGGGCCTAGCGTGTGCAAGATTGCAAGAACAAGGGCCTAACGTGTGCAAAATTGCATAAACAAGGGCCTAGCGAGTGCAAAATAGCAAGAGCAAGGGCCTAGCATGTGCAAAAAATCAAGAACAGGGGCCTAGCGTTCGCGAAATAGCAAGAACAAGGGCCTAGCGTGTGCAAAATAAAAAGAACATAGGCCTAGCATGTGCAAAATTGCAAGAACAGGGGCCTAGCATGTGCAAATTAAAAAGAACAAGGGCATAGCTGTCAGAACATATCTATAGCTTATACTGCTGTGTAGGCTGTAGTGGGGTATCCCATAGGGGGTACAACCCAGTTAGGGTTTCATATTTGTACTGCTTTCATTCATAGTTCATTCATTCCTGCTTACTCATTTTCACATGGTATAGAGCGGGTTCCCTGTGGAACTCTGCCTAGGGCCCACCGAAGCGCGCCCCGAGGCGCGCTCAACTTTTTTTTTCCGCTATCGAGCGACCCTCCGTGTCGCCTCCCTCCCACACGCGGCCCATGCCGCCCGCTAAGTCGCGGCCTCCGCCGCCCGCTACGATCGCGGCCCCAGCCGCCTGCTCGACGCGGCCCCCAGCCGCCTGCTCGACGCGGCCCCAGCCGCCTGCTCGACGCGGCCCCCTAGCCGCCTGCTCGACGCGACCCTCAGCCGCCTGCTCGACGCGGCCCTGCCGCCCGCTACGCCGCGGCCGCCGCCTGCTACGACCGCGGCCCCCGCCGCCTGCTACGACCGCGGCCCCCAGCCGCCTGTTCGACCGCGGCCCCGCCGCCCGCTTCTGTCGCGGCCCCCCAGCCGCCTGCTCGACGCGGCCCCCCAGCCGCCTGCTTGACGCGGCCCTGCCGCCCGCTACGCCGCGGCCGCCGCCTGCTACGACCGCGGCCCCGGCTGCCTGCTACGACCGCGGCCCCAGCCGCCTGTTCGACCGCGGCCCCGCCGCCCGCTCCTGTCGCGGCCCCCAGCCGCCTGCTCGACGCGGCCCTGCCGCCCGCTACGCCGCGGCCGCCGCCCACTACGATCGCGGCCCCGGCCGCCTGCTACGACCGCGGCCCCAGCCGCCTGTTCGACCGCGGCCCCGCCGCCCGCTCCTGTCGCGGCCCCGGCTGCCTGCTCGCACGGCCTCGCCGCCCGCTACTACCGCGGCCCCGGCCGCCTGCTCGACCGCGGCCCCCCCCCCCCCCCCCCCCCCCCCTTCTACCGGGAGCCGAGCCGCCCTGCAGCCGAGCCGCCCGGGAGCCGAGCCGCCCTGCACCCGAGCCGCCCTGTCGCCGAGCCGCCCGGGAGCCGAGCCGCCCTGCCCCCGAGCTACCCTGCCGCCGAGCCGCCCGGGAGCCGAGCCGCCCTGCACCCGAGCCGCCAGGTCGCTGAGCCGCCTTTCTGCATACCTACTCGACCTGCCCTGCCTGGTGAGCACAGTCCCACTGCCACTGCGAGCTCTTTCCCTACTGCTTGCACTGCGTCACTGTCGTCGCCATGGCTACCCCTAGTGTCCTAGCGTTTGACGCTGAGGGTCGCGCCATTGATTTTGAGGTCTGGTTAGACGACCTGCAGCTGTTCTTACAGTGCGACAGGGCTGACGACCTTTCTCTCTTTGACCTCACCTCTGGCGCCTCTCCTACTCCTGCTGCTGATGCTGATCCCGCTGTCCGCTCTAAGTGGGCCACCCGCGATGCTGCTGCACGTCTTGCTGTGCGTCGCCACCTCCCTACCTCTGAGCGTGCGCACTTTAGTCAGTACAAGAGTGCTCAGACCTTGTACGACGCTGTAGTTGCGCGCTACTCCTCCCCTGCCACTGCTGCACTGAGCCGTCTCATGCTTCCCTACCTCTTTCCTGACCTCTCTGCCTTTCCCACTGTCGCTGACCTCATTACGCACCTCCGCACTAGTGACACTCGCTACCGCGCCGCCCTTCCTGCTGAGTTCTGCGCTAAGAACCCCCCCCCCCATGTACATCGCTCTCTACTACGTAGTCGCGCGCCTCCCTGACTCCCTTCGCGTCGTCAGGGACCACTTTCTCGCAGTCTGTCCCACCACCCTCACCGTCGACCTCCTCGAGAAGTCCCTCCTTGCAGCGGAGAAGAGCATAGTCGCTGTAGGTGCTTCTCGTGGTGACCCTCGCACCCCCATCTTTGAGGGGTGCTCTCCTTCCCCCTTGCTGCCCTCTGTTGCCTCTGCTGCTGCTGCCGACCTGCTTGGTCTTGAGTCGGTCGGCGCGGCGTCTGCCCCTAGTGGGAGACGTCGCTCCAGCAAGGGCAAGGGGGGCAAGGGCGCGGGTGGAGCTGGAGGGGGCGGTGGCGGTGGCGGCGGTGGCGGCGGAGGGAGTGGGGGTGGCGGCGGGACTAGTGGCGGGGGTGGTGGTGGTGGTGGTGGCAGCAGCGGCGGAGACGGTGGTGGTGGAGCCAGCGGTGGTGGTGGAGGCAGCGGCGGAGGTGGAGGCGGCGGAGGTGGAGGCGGTGGAGGCGGCAGCGGAGGAGGCAGTGGTGGTGGAGGAGGTGGAGCTGGTCGGGGTGGTACCCAGCAGCGTAGCGGTGGTGGTGGTGGCCAGCGCTCGCACCGGCAGCAGCAGCAGCGCTCGCGGGACATCCCTTCGCCTCAGCAGCTTCGTGAGTGGTACGCTGGGCGTCAGAGGGGTGGGGGTACTGGTCCCTGCACCTACGTTCTTCGTTCCGGCGACCGCGCGGGTGAGCAGTGTGGGGGTGCCCACGCCACCCAGCGCTGCTTTGGCCGCCTGACGGACGCCTGGCGTCAGCAGTTCCCTGGGGCTAGTGAGATCCCTCGCTGGGATGAGCTTCTCAGGGCTGGTGTAGCGATCTTTGATCTTGATTTTGATGCTATCCTTACTGCTATGTATGTTGTGGATTATAGTGAGGAGAATGAGGGTTACCGTTGTTTCCGGCCCGACCCGGGCATTGGTACTGCTGCGCTAGGTGCTTGTGAGGCTGCTGCTCTAGGTGCCAGTGCGTCTGCGCTCTCAGGTACTGGTGAGACTGCGCTCTCAGGTACTGCGTCGTCCTCGTCCTCCCTCACTTTCACACTTGACTCCGGAGCTTCTCGCTCCTTCTTTCGAGACCGCACTACCCTTACGCCGCTCGGCCGGCCGGTTGCAGTCTCCCTTGCTGACCCCTCTGGAGGTCCTGTCCTGTCTCACTTCTCCACTGTCCTCCCGTGTCCGGCTGCCCCTTCGGGCACCCTGTCGGGTCTGTACCTTCCCTCGTTCTCCACGAACTTGGTGAGTGGAGCGGACCTGCAGGATGGGGGTGTTCACCAGTTCACTCCTGCGAGTCAGCGGGTGACCCACTGCACGGAGGCACGCACAGGCCGACACCTGGCCACGTTCTCGCGTCGGCCGGGGTCGAGTCTCTACACCCTGACCGTTGAGTCTCCTCCTGTCCCTGCGTCTGGTCAGGTGGCTGCGTCGGGTCAGGTACTTGCTGCTGCGTCCCGGTCAGGTCCTGAGTCTGCCCCCTGTTCTTGTCGCCTCCTGTCTCACGAGACTCTCCTGTGGCACCACCGTCTTGGCCACCCCTCCTTGCCCCGTCTTCGGAGCATGGCTTCCCGTGTCCTTGTCTCTGGTCTTCCCCAGTCTCTCCCTCCTCTCCCCTCCGGGCCAGGACCTTCCTGTGTCCCCTGTGTCGAGGGTCGCCTCCGGGCTACTCCTCACTCCTCCCACTTCCCCCCGACAGAGGCTCCCCTGCAGACGCTTCACATGGATGTGTGGGGCCCAGCCCCCGTCCGTGGGCAGGGTTACGAGCGCTACTTCCTTGTTGGTGGTTGACGACTACTCGCGTTACACCACAGTCCTCCCCTTGCGCAGCAAGGGTGCGGTCACTGAGGTGCTGATCGACTGGATCCGCGAGGCTCGTCTCCAGCTCAGGAAGAGCTTCGGCTCGGACTTTCCTGTTCTGCGTCTGCACTCTGACAGAGGCGGAGAGTTCTCTTCTCGCCTTCTGCGGGACTACTGTCGTGCACGGGGGATCCGCCAGACCTTCACCCTTCCGGACTCACCACAGCAAAATGGGATTGCTGAGCGCCGCATTGGCATGGTCATGGATGTCGCTCGTACGTCCATGATGCATGCGGCTGCCCCCCATTTTCTGTGGCCGTTTGCGGTGAGGTACGCGGCGCATCAGCTCAACCTTCATCCCCGGGTCTCTCGGCCTGCGATGTCCCCAGCCTTGCTGTGGACGGGGAAGGTTGGCGATGCGTCTGTGTTCCGTGTCTGGGGATCTCGGGCGTTTGTCCGCGACTTGTCTGCGGACAAGCTGTCCCCTCGTGCTGCTCCCTGTGTCTTCCTTGGCTTCCCCACTGACGCCCCAGGGTGGCAGTTTTACCACCCCTCCTCTCGTCGTGTTCTGTCCTCCCAGGACGTCACGTTCGACGAGTCAGTCCCCTTCTACCGTCTCTTCCCCTACCGCACTCCTTCCCTCCCCCCTCCCCCGGACTTCCTTGTGCCGGTTCCCCCCCCGGTAGACCCCCTCCCCCCTCAGGTTCCTGCCCCCTCAGGTGTGTCCCAGGTAGACGCCGTTGACCCGGTCGAGGTTACTGGTGACTCTGGTGCTGCTGCGGGTGCTGAGCCTGGGGGTGCTGACTCTGGGGGTGCTGTGCGCGGGGGTGCTGAGCCTGGGGGTGCTACTGCTGGGGGTGCTGGGCCTGAGGGTGCTACTCCTGAGGGTGCGGAGCCTGGGGGTGCTGAGCCGGGGGGTGCTGTGCCTGGAGGTGCTGGGTCTGGGGGTGCTGGGTCGGGAGCTGCTGAGCCTGGGGGTGCTGAGCTGGGAGCTGCTGAGCCTGGGGGTGCTGCGTCTGGAGCTGCTGAGCCTGGGGTTTCTCCTGCTGCTGCGTCTCGCCGGGAGCCCCTCTCTCCACAGGAGCTGCGCGAGTGGTTCGCTCGCCGCTGGAGGCGTGCTGCTGAGTCTGGAGGTGCTGCTGGAGCTGGAGCTTCTTCGACCGTCGAGGGTGCGGGTACTGCCGGTCCCGGAGCTGCTGGACCTGCGGGTCCTCCTGGAGCTGGAGCTGCTGAGGGCGTTCGTGCTGAGCTTGCTGCTGTTGGTCCTGCCGCTGGAGGTGTGGGTGGCGCTGGTGCTGTAGCTGAGGGTGCTGGTGCTGTCCCTGCTGAGTCTGGAGCTGCCGCGCGGCCTCGGCCGTACTTCGTTCCGCTCCTGCAGCAGGTTCTTGGTCTTTCTCCTCCAGTAGAGGGTCCACCGCCTGTCCAGTCGCAGTCCCTACTGGAGCCTTCCTCTCCACTGCCTGCTCCCTCTCCTTACACTGGTCCTACTGGAGGTCTTGCTGAGCGTCGTGAGCCTGCGTCTCGTCCCGCGTCGCCTGTTCGTGCTGCTCGCGCTAGTGGTCGCAGTTCGCGTCAGCGTCCTCCTCCTGTCCCTGGCACGCACCGGATGTCTCTGCGTCCGTCCACTGCTCCTCTGCGTGCCCCTTTGCCTTCTCCTCCTGAGTCCTCTCTTCCTGCGCTTGCCGACCCTGAGTCGGACTCTCTTCGCGCTGCGAGTCCTACTGTCACGCGTCTGCTTGCTACTGTCGTCACTGACCCCTCTTTTGAGTCCACTGCTGTGTCTGCTCTAGTCGCTGAGCTCGTTGACTTTGCTGCCCGCTGTCGTCTCGACTACGCTGCTAGTCTTGTTGCTGAGTCTGTCTGTCCTCCGTCCGTCGGGGGTGAGTGTGCTCTTGGCACGGACGTCCTAGAGGACAGGCAGGAGGAGTTACAGTGTCTAGCGGCTGCTTCACCTCATCTCGCGTCTGTACTGCTTGCCCCTGAGGGAGACCCGGATGCACTAGACATCCCGACTCCGCGTTCTTACGCGAAGGCCGTAGAGGGTCCCTACTCCTCTCAGTGGCAGGCAGCTATGGATGCAGAGATGGCTTCCTGGAAGTCCACAGGCACCTACGTTGACGCGGTTCCCCCTCCTGGGGCGAACATCGTCAGTGGCATGTGGATCTTCAGGGTGAAGCGGCCGCCGGGCTCTCCACCTGTCTTCAAGGCACGGTACGTTGCTCGTGGCTTCAGTCAGCGGCAGGGAGTTGACTACTTTCAGACCTTCTCTCCCACCCCGAAGATGACCACTCTTCGGGTGCTGCTGCACATAGCCGCTCAGCGCGACTACGAGCTTCACTCTCTCGACTTCAGCACTGCGTTCCTGCAGGGTAGCCTGCACGAGGAGATCTGGCTTCGCCGTCCACCTGGCTTCACTGGGACTTTCCCTCCTGGCACCCAGTGGAGCCTCCGACGGCCAGTCTACGGTCTCCGCCAGGCACCGCGTGAGTGGCACGACACACTGAGGACTACGCTTGCGGCTCTTGGGTTTGCTCCGTCTAATGCTGACCCGTCGCTGTTTCTTCGCACAGACACTTCCCTGCCGCCGTTCTACATCCTCGTGTACGTCGACGACTTGGTCTTTGCCACAGCGGACACTGCTGGACTCGCCTACGTGAAGTCCGAGCTGCTGAAGAGACACACGTGCACAGACCTGGGTGAACTGCGCAGCTACCTTGGCTTGCAGATCACTCGGGACAGAGCACGCCGCACCATTACCTTGACTCAGTCACACATGGTGCAGCAGGTCCTTCAGCGCTTCGGCTTCACGTACTCCTCGCCTCAGGCCACTCCTCTGCCTACTCGCCACTCACTCTCAGCTCTGCCTTCGGATGAGTCCGTAGAGTCGAGTGGTCCGTATGCAGAGCTTGTTGGCTGCCTTATGTACCTGATGACCTGCACACGACCTGACCTTGCATACCCTCTGAGCATTCTTGCACGCTATGTTGCTCCTGGGAGGCACAGACCGGAGCACATGGCTGCAGCGAAGAGGGTATTGCGCTACCTGTGCAGTACGTCGGGCATGGGGCTAGTGCTTGGAGGGCGGAGTCCAGTGGTCCTTACCGGCCACGCGGACGCTTCTTGGGCTGACGACCAGGCTACGCAGCGGTCGTCACAGGGTTACACCTTCAGCCTTGGTTCCGGCTCTGTCTCGTGGCGGTCTACTCGCTCGTCTTCGGTTCTCGGCTCCAGTTGTGAGGCTGAGATCTACGCCGGGGCCATGGCTGCACAGGAGCTTCGCTGGCTCACCTACCTGCTGACTGACCTTGGAGAGCCGCCTCGTTCTCCTCCAGTGCTGTACGTAGACAACAAGGCTATGCTGGCCTTGTGTCGAGAGCAGCGCTTGGAGCACAGAACGAAGCACATTGCTCTCCGCTACTTCCTTGCTCGTGAGCTGCAGCAGCGTGGTCAGTTGCGACTTGCGTACGTGGCCTCTGAGGCCAACACTGCTGATGTGTTCACCAAGGCACTTGCGCCTTGTGACCATCAGCGCTTCTGCACCCAGCTGGGTCTTGTGCCTGTCTTGCCTCACTTGCTCTCCTCTTGACTTCACTTGTACTGTGATATATATATATACCTGCTCTTGCTTGTCTAGCTTTATATATATGTCTGTACTCTTGCTTGTGAACTGGCCTTTGGCCTTGCTCTTGTGCTCGGACTGTGTGGTGACTTTGTGATCCACCCTGAGCTTTGCTTTGTCTTGCTTGACTGGTCTTGTGACCCCTTGTTCTCCCCCACTTTGCCTATGGGGGTGTGTCAGAACATATCTATAGCTTATACTGCTGTGTAGGCTGTAGTGGGGTATCCCATAGGGGGTACAACCCAGTTAGGGTTTCATATTTGTACTGCTTTCATTCATAGTTCATTCATTCCTGCTTACTCATTTTCACAATAGCATGTGCAAAATAAAAAGAACAAGGGCATAGCGTGTGCAAAATAAATAGAACAAGGGCCTAGCGTGTGCAAAATAAAAAGAACAAGGGCCTATCGTGTGCAAAATTGCAAGAAGAAGGGCCTAGCGTGTGCAAAATTGCAAGAACAAGGGCCTAGCGAGTGCAAAATAGCAAGAGCAAGGGCCTAGCGTGTGCAAAAAATCAAGAACAAGGGCCTAGCGTTCGTGAAGCTGCAAAAACAAGGGCCTAGCGTGTGCAAAATGAAAAGAACAAGGGTCTAGCATGTGCACAATAAAAAGAACAAGGGCCTAGCGTTTGCAAAATTGCAAGAACAAGGGCCTAGCATGTGCAAAATTGCAAGAACAAGGGCTTAGCGAGTGCAAAATAGCAAGAGCAAGGGCCTAGCGTGTGCAAAAAATCAAGAACAAGGGCCTAGCGTTCGCGAAAAAGCAAGAACAAGGGCCTAGCGTGTGCAAAATAAAAAGAACAAGGGCATAGCGTGTGCAAAATAGCAAGAACAAGGGCCTAGCGTGTGCAAAATAAAAAAAACAAGGGCCTAGCGTGTGCAAAAAAAAAAGAACAAGGGCCTAGCGTGTGCAAAATTGCAAGAACAAGGGCCTAACGTGTGCAAAATTGCAAGAACAAGGGCCTAGCGAGTGCAAAATAGCAAGAGCAAGGGCCTAGCGTGTGCCAAAAATCAAGAACAAGGGCCTAGCGTTCGCAAAATAGCAAGAACAAGGGCCTAGCGTGTGCAAAATAAAAAGAACAAGGGTCTAGCATGTGCAAAATTGCAAGAACAAGGGCCTAGCATGTGCAAAATAAAAAGAACAAGGGCATAGCGTGTGCAAAATAAAAAGAACAAGGGCATAGCGTGTGCAAAATAAAAAGAACAAGGGCCTAGCGTGTGCAAAATAAAAAGAACAAGGGCCTAGCGTGTGCAAAATTGCAAGAACAAGGGCCTGGCGTGTGCAAAATTGCAAGAACAAAGGCCTAGCGAGTGCAAAATAGCAAGCGCAAGGGCCTAGCGTGTGCAAAAAATCAAGAACAAGGGCCTAGCGTTCGCGAAATTGCAAGAACAAGGTCCTAGCGTGTGCAAAATGAAAAGAACAAGGGTCTAGCATGTGCAAAAATGTAAGAACAAGGGCCTAGCGTGTGCAAAAAAAAAAGAACAAGGGCATAGCGTGTGCAAAATAGCAAGAACAAGGGCCTAGCGTGTGCAAAATAAAAAGAACAAGGGCCTAGCGTGTGCAAAATAATAAGAACAAGGGCCTAGCGTTTGCAAAATTGCAAGAACAAGGACCTAGCATGTGCAAAACTGCAAGAACAAGGGCTTAGCGAGTGCAAAATAGCAAGAGCAAGGGCCTAGCGTGTGCAAAAAATCAAGAACAAGGGCCTAGCGTTTGCGAAATAGCAAGAACAAGGGCCTAGCGTGTGCAAAATAAAAAGAACAAGGGTCTACCATGTGCAAAATTGCAAGAAGAAGGGCCTAGCGTGTGGCAAAATAAAAAGAATAAGGGCCCTAGCGTGTGCAAAATAGCAAGAACAAGGGCCTAGCGTGTGCAAAATTGCAAGAACAAGGGCCTAGCGTGTGCAAAATTGCAAGAACAAGGGCCTAGCGTGTGCAAAATAGCAAGAGCAAGGGCCTAGCGTGTGCAAAAAATCAAGAACAAGGGCCTAGCGTTCGCGAAATAGCAAGAACAAGGGCCTAGCGTGTGCAAAATAAAAAGAACAAGGGTCTAGCATGTGCAAAATTGCAAAGAACAAGGGCCTAGCGTGTGCAAAATAAAAGAACAAGGCATAGCGTGTGCAAAATAGCAAGAACAAGGGCCTAGCATTTGCAAAATATAAGAACAAGGGCCTAGCGTGTGCAAAATAAAAGAACAAGGCCTAGCGTGTGCAAAATAAAAAGAACAAGGGCCTATCGTGTGCAAAAATTGAAAGAACAAGGGCCTAGCGTGTGCAAAATAGCATAGAACAAGGGCCTAGCGATGTGCAAAATAGCAAGACAAGGGCCTAGCGTGTGCAAAATAATCAAGAACAAGGGACCTAGCGTGTGCAAAATTAGCAAGAACAAGGGTCCTAGCGATGTGCAAAAATTGCAAGAACAAGGGCCTAGCGTGTGCAAAATAGGGCCTAGCGTGTGCAAAATTGCAAGAACAAGGGCATAGCGTGTGCAAAATTGCAAAGAACAAAGGGGCCCTAGCGAGTGCAAATAGCAAGAACAAGGGCCTAGCATGTGCAAAAAACAAGAACGGGCATTGTGTTCGCGAACTAGCAATAAAGGGCCCTAGCGATGTGCAAAATAGAAAGAGCAAGGGTCCCTAGCAGTGTGCACAAAATTGCAAGAACAAGGGCCTAGCGTGTCGCGAAAATAGAAAAGATCAAGGGCATAGTAGCGTGTGCAAAATAAAAAGAAGCAAGGGCCCTAGCGTGTGCAAAACTAAAAAGAACAAGGGGCCCCTAGCCGTTTGCAAAATTGCAAGAACAAGGGCCTAGCATGGTGCAAAATTGCAAGAACACGGGCCTTAGCGAGATGCAAAATTCAGCAAGAGCAAGAGGCCCTAGCGTGTGCACAAAATCAAGAACAAGGGGCCTAGGCGTTTCGCGAAATAGCAAGAACAAGGGCCTAGCGTGTGGCAACTATAAAAAGACAAGGGCCTAGCGTGTACAAAATAAAAGAAACAAGGGCCTAGCCTTTGCAAAATTGCAAGAACAAGGGCCTAGCATGTGCTAAAAATAGCATAGAAAACAAGGGCCTAGCGAGTGCAAAGTAGCAAAGAGCAAGGCCTAGGCGTGTGCCAAAAAATCAAGGAACAAGGGCCCTACTAGCGTGTCGCGAAAATAGCATAGAAACACGGGTCCTACCATGTGCAAAATTGCAAAGAACAAGGGTCCTGACGTGTGCAAGACTAGAAAAGAACAAGGGGATAGCTGTGTGGCAAAATAGGAAAGAACATGTGACTACTAGCGTGTGCAAACTAGAAAGAACAAGGGCCTAGCGTGTGCAAATTGCAAGAACAAGGGCCTGTGCAAAATTGCAAGAACAAGGCCTAGCGAGTGCAAAATAGCAAGAGCAAGGCCTAGCGTGTGCAAAAAAACAAGAACAGGGCCTAGCGTTCGCGAAAATAGCAAGAACAAGGGCCTAGCGTGTGCAAAATAAAAAGAACAAGGGTCTAGCATGTGCAAAATTGCAAGAACAAGGGCCTAGCGTGTGCAAAATAAAAAAAACAAGGGCCTAGCGTGTGCAAAATAAAAAGAACAAGGGCCTAGCGTGTGCAAAATAAAAAGAACAAGGGCCTAGCGTGTGCAAAATTGCAAGAACAATGGCCTAGCGTGTGCAAAATTGCAAGAACAAGGGCCTAGCGTGTGCAAAATTGCAAGAACAGGGCCTAGCGTGTGCAAAAAATGCAAGAACAAGGGCCTAGCGTGTGCAAAATAGCAAGAACAAGGGCCTAGCGTGTGCAAAATAAAAGAACAAGGGCTAGCGTGTGCAAAATAAAAAGAACAAGGGCCTAGCGTGTGCAAAATTGCAAGAACAAGGGCCTAGCGTGTGCAAAATAGCAAGAACAAAGGGCCTAGCGTGTGCAAAATAGCAAGAACAAGGGCCTAGCGTGTGCAAAA